GCGCGCCTGCGAGGCGGCCAGCGCGCGCTGGGCCCGCGCCGCCATGGCCGCGGCGGCCGCGGCGACCGCGGCCGCCTCCGCCGCGACCGCATCGGCAGCGTCGGCCTCCTCCTCAAAAGGCGTGTACGATTGCGAGGGCTCATCCTCGGCCTGCAGCAGGCCGAGGAGCCGGCCGAGCGCCGAGGAGAGCTGCTCGCGCTCGCCGCCAGCGTAGTCCTCGGCGGGGAGGGCGTACACGTCCGCGAGCTCGTCCCCCCCGAGCGTGACCCAGTCCTCGTCTCGTACGTCTCGCACCGGTGGGCTGGCCGAGCCGGCCATTTTTGCGGGCCGCAGTGTTTCTTTTCTTATGCTTGAAATTTAAATTCTTTTCTCGTCTCTCGCGCCTCTCCGCCTCCTTGCCTTCTCTGCCTCCTCCTCCGCTTCCTCCTCCACCTCCGCCGCCGCTCCGCTGCCACCGCCCGCCCTGGCCCCTGCGGTCGAAGGCAGTTGGGTAGACGCATCGGCCATCGCTCGCGGGCTGTGTGTCTGCGCTCCAAGCATGTGCCGTCAGCTCCTGTCGCTAGCGTCCACCCATACGCATTACCGCGCTGGTGTCCAGTCCGGAGCCCCCGGCGCTCTCTCTTCACCTTCAGCACATACTCATGCATACACATGCACATGCATGTGTGTGTGTGTGTGTGTGTGCGTGTGCGTGCACTCAGAGACGCTCAGTCTCTGTGACCGTCATCGCCCGTCGTGCATCAATACCGTGCCGGCGTCCACAGGGCTAGCCATGTGAGCATGGACCGGGCGGCTTTCGCCTCCTTACTAACTAACTTCTCCTCCGTTCGTCCCGTCCACACGCTTATCAGCGGCAGCAATCCACGGCCCGGGGTAGCCGTAGGCGCGCGCCAGCGCTGCGGCCTGCTTCGCTGCGGTCGCATCGATCGCATAGAGCTCCTGCCACGTCAGAGGCACGCCGCGCACCTCCGTCGAGCTCAAGTTGTGGTCTGGGCGCGACTCGGCCACGTTGGTGGCGTTGGTCGACAGCGAGCGGGCATCGCACGCGCAGCGATTTCCGCTGGCGCCGCAGTAGGCGCACCAAATCGACTGGAACGAGTCGGCTGCCAGGCTCTCGATGGGTACGGAGTGCGTCGCCACGCTGTCTGCAAGCTCATTCCAGCCGACCCAATAGTTGAGCGCGAGCAAGATTCGCTCGTGGCGACTCAGACGGCAGCATTGCGCAAAGTTGTTCGTCTCGTTGACGAGCGGCAGCGAGATCACCTGGTTGGCGAGCTGAAAGCTCACCGCATCCCAGCCGGCTTCGTCCATCGGCCGCGCATTCGCTGTGCTGACGTCGGGCACCTTGCTGCCGTTGACAGTGGTGCTGCTCGTCGCGCTCCGCTTGCCGCTGCCACAGACGCCGTGGGCATTGAAGCCGCTGGCGATGGATGAGATTGCGTTTAGCGGCTCCCGATGCACCTTGACGATCGGAGCGAAACACTGCCAGCCGCGCCAATACGTTGCCGAGCGCTCATATGCTGCGGCGGGCCACGAGACGAAGACCGTATTGTCGCCCAAGTGGCCGTTCTCGTGCACGGCGTTGAGTCCCGCGCGAGCGAGCATCGCCGTCGCTGCGTGCGTGCCCGAGCGGCCGCAGCCGGTGACGAGCGGCCGCAGCACGCGATGGCGCTCGGAGCAGCCCATCGAGAAGACGGCCTCCCAATCGGCTTTCAGCGTCTCGGGCAGCGGAGGCGGCGTGCGAAGGCGGCCGGCGTGGACGACGCGCCAGCCGTCGGCCGCGCGGTCCATCGATCGACGGTGCGGGTGCAGCAGCAGCCCCTGGCCGGACCCCTGTGTGGACGTCTCGCGGGTCTTGCGAACTCGCGGCGGCCATAGAGGGGCGACAAGTTTCTCCGAGACCTCGCGAGCGGGCAGGTATTAACACCCCGGCAGTGTGGTTTGGGCTGGGCAGGGCAGTGTGGGTTTCACACCCGGGGCAGGTAGGGGATCGGGCAGGGCAGTTGTGCGGCAGTGTGCGGGCAGGGCAGTGCGGCAGGGCAGGGCAGGGCAGGGCAGGGGCAGTTGGGGTCATAATTGCAGGGCTGAGATTCGGGATCTCAGGTGGTGAAAAAAAGGGGGAGACAATTGCTGTGAACATGGAATTTGGATAACAATCTCAATGAGATGTGTGAAGAGGACGGCCGACCGACGAAACACATGTGCGCGAGCTTGGCGAGCTCATCTGCATCTTGAGCACTTGAGCACTGGATAGGGCCGATTCCGCGTGGTACGGGACCCCTCGATCGTCTCGCCCTCCCTCACTGGTACGTTCATTGGGGGGGGTCATAACAAACACGGTACAGGATCGAGGTGCACGCTGCCGAAGCAGTGTCGTCCCCCCTCTCCCCGACGGCGATGGCGGTGTGACCGATCGAGCTACAAGAGGAACTTGTTCAGCAGGATCCGGGTGGGCGGAGCAGTACCTCACTTCCTCAGTGGGTGAGCCTCAGACCCCCAGCCCTCAAGCCCATCACACATTGGGCTAAACCCCACCTGGCTTCCTCCCGCTAAATACAAAGCGCGAGACAAGTTCTCTCTTGCACCTCGAAGCGCAGAAAGGCTGCCAACCTCCTCTCCCATCTGGCGCTTGCGCCGCGCAGCGTGGGCGCGGCATCCGGGACGGATGCGGGCCGCTGTCTCGCGGGATCGCTGGGCGCCGCTCGGCTCCCCACGCGCCGCCGAGCTGCGATGGCGCAACCGCAACGGCTGCCCCTCCTCGGCTCCCGCCCCGGGGCTGCCGAAATAGGTGCCCCGAGCCACCGTTTGCAACATCCGCGCGGAATGGCGGTGCTGCCGACGCCCCCCCGACCGGCAAACTCCATTGGAAGGGCGGTGGTGAACGCTCCACCTCTCAAATGTCGTCGTCGTCGCGCAGTTCCCTTAAGTGACGTTCGGCGCCCGGCGCGGCTGGCGGCCAAGAATCCGGATTTTCGTCTCTCGACGCGAAGATATGGTCCCGAGTCTCACTACTCGCCCCTCCATCCTGTAGGTCCGGACCTTGCCTGCTCAGTAGCCGCGATGAATCGTCGCCCTCATCGTCCGCGGTCATCCTTTCAGCCTCAAACGGGCCAAACGACTGTCTCGCCATCACCCATCTCGCCTCTCGCGGTCGCGTCACACCTTCCCTCGTGCCGCGAGTAGGCGCGTGAGTGATGGCCCTGCCGCCAGGTACACGGCTACACCTCGGGACGCCGTGCTGAGACGGGTAGAGCCGCCCCGCGGGAGCAAAAGCCGCCTCGCGCGCCTCAGCCCGCCGGGCCCCTCGGCGGCCAGTGTGGGGTGGATACGGCGGTTATAAACCCCTCTGACAGCAGCGCCTCACGGCGTGGGCTGCGAGGTCACTCGGGGTGACCCAGGGGGCGGCGGGGGAGCAATCTCCCGCCGGAGCAGCGGGTAATATTCCCGCTACTCGCTCGAGTTTGAGGTGCGCCGCGCCTCGCCTGTGTTGCCTTCCCGGCCGCCCCAGCCGCCCTCACCGTTCCTCATCCCCTCCCCCACCCCCTCCCCCTCAGGCTAGGCCCTCGCCACCGCCGCTGCCGCTGTCTCCGCCACAGCCGCCGCCGTTTCCCTCCCCCCCACCCCCTCCGACGCCGTCGCCTCCGCTGCTCCCGCCACCACCGCCGGCCGCCTCAGCTCTCCCTCGCCCACACCTCCCACACACCACCAACGCCCTCCGCGCGTCCCCGCACGCCGCCTCCGCGCCCCCACGCCCCCACGACGACCTCCCGCCCCGCCCTCCCCGCGTCTCAGACCCTTGGCCGTGCTCCGCTCGGGGCGACTCGGCGCCGCCATCGCGAGCACGCCGCCCTCGCCCCCGCCACCTTCCCCCCCGCCGCCATCCCCACCGCCGCCGTCGCCGGGAATTTAACGCGCGGTT